ATGCCGTGCACGCTGATCTGCGATTCCGCCGCGGCCGCGTTGATGCGGCGGACCCCGATCGACGCGGTGATCGTCGGGGCCGATCGCGTCTGTCGGAACGGGGATACGGCGAACAAGATCGGGACCTACCAACTCGCGGTGACGGCGAAGCGGCACGGGGTGCGGTTCTACGTCGCCGCGCCGTCGACGACGTTGGATCCGTCGACGCCGAACGGCGCGGGCGTCCCAATCGAGGAGCGCGCGGCGTCGGAGATCACGACGGATCCGATCACCCACACCCGGGTCGTGGCGGAGGGGCCGAGTGTGGAGGTGTGGAATCCGGTGTTCGATATCACGCCGGCGGAGCTGATCACCGGGGGGATCATCACGGAGCGCGGCGTGTTCGAACCCGCGAGCAGCGCGCCGTATTATGATGTTCAGGCCATCCTTGGCGCGGCATAACGCCCGCTTGGCGTCGTGTTGCCGTCCTCCCTCCCTTTTTTTTTTTTGGTTTGGTTTGGGTTGGTTTGGTTCATCCGGTCGTACTCGTTTTCGTGACGCCGTGAGTGGTTGGACGCGGAAAAAATAAATAAATAAGTTGAAACGATTCATAAACAGCACGTGTAGCAATCGCCCCCTTCTGTAAAGAAAGGGGCTGGAAGACAAGTTGGCGATAGGGATTTGGTAGTTTAAGATCGGTAGGGTACTCCTGGTTAGCGGTTTCCACCTAGGCGTTTCCTGGAAAACGAAACCGAACGCGATGGGATATTCCTCTAGCCTTACATCGGTATTCCACTTTTATTTTTCCCATAATGGTGTTAAAAAGGGGGAGCGGCGTATGCGTCTTCGCTCCCTGTTGAAAATATCACTCACCCAAACCACCAAGACTAGTCTCCATCGAGTGGTGGAAATGGTGTTGATCTTGCAACGTCAACCTTCTTTCTCTGGTAAACCATCAAAAGTACTTTATACGCATATAGACAGGAAAAAAGGCGTGTGTTGAGCAAGACTGAGGGGGGGAGGGGGGACGCTCTTGTGTCTAGTCTTTTTTTCATTATTTTTTATTATTCTTTTATCCCATTAGCTCATCTTTCATAAATGTCCAAACCGATTTATCTGCCGACGGAGTACAACACACGGCGACGCTACGCGATCCTACTTCTTCACGAGGGGGCGCCGTTCTCGCTGAACTACTGGAGCGTGGCGTGCTTTCTTGCGGTGCATTTAAAGTCGCGCCGCCGGGTGGATTTCCTCCCCCGGTGGATTTGGTACCCCATCCTCTACCTTTTAGTGCTCCCATGGCGCACTTTTTACGAAACCCGATCCTACACCCCTTTTTGGATCTCCACGAGCCATTCTAGGATGTACACCACCCCGCCACAAATCGGGGGCCCCGCCCAATCTTCCAACACCAACGGGCAAGCGATGTGTGTATATCACCTGTTGGTGCTCGTTCAGTACCTGCAAAAGCTCATGACGGATCTCCTCCCTCGTCTTCTCCCTGCGCTCCCTCCTGGGGAGGTTTCGGTGCAGGTCGAGGTCGCTTTTTCCTCCCAACCCCGCTCCGTCGACGCGGCATTGGAGCGCTTCCACTTTCTCGGGAATTACACCGGCGTGAAGGATAGCAACCAGGCGGCGGCGTGTGTGGAGGAGGAGCACCTCATGGTGCTTCCGCTTTACCCGCAATACAGCTCCGTCCACACCGCCGTCGCCTTTGATGCGATCACGCATTCGAATTACTTCACCGCGCATCGAACGGTGCCGCATCTTCATTTTCTCCGCAGCTACGCCACGCGGCCGGCCTACCTACACGCCCTCACCACCTCCATCACGCGGTATTGCGCGGCGAAAGGGGCGCCGGATTGGATCTTCGTCGTCTTTGAGGGGCTCTCCAGGCGATTCATCACCTCCGGGGATTGCTATCAAGTGGAATGCCATCGGACCTTCACGGCCCTCCGCGCGGCGCTTTCCACGCCATCCGAGAGCAAGGGATCCGATCGCCTGATCGCGCCGAATCGCATCACGATTAGTTTTCTCGAGTGGGGGGTGGAGCCCTGCCTGGAGCCCTCCACTCGCGATGTTGTCGCCGGCATCGCATCGCAGATTCGGCGGATCGGAATGGGCATTTCCGCCGCCAATGAGGAGGACGAGGCGGAGTGGAAGAAATTTTTGGGAACGGCGTACTTCGTTTGCCCGGGGATCGCCGTGGATGATAACCGTTCCCTGCAGCTCGTGCAGAAGCAGTTATGCGAGCAATGTCTGGAGCTGGGATGGCAGCGGGCGGAGTATATCCCCGCTCTGAATGGATCCCCTGAGCAGATCAAATTGTTGGCGAATATTATCTCGGATTACGTCTCTTAGTTTTTTTTCGAAGACCAAAAGGAATAAGTACTCGCAAATACATCTTTATCTATGGATGGATGTATATCTATATACAATCAAAAACGTCCTTTTTATGCCTCTCTGCCTTACAGACGTTTTTTATAAAATGTGGGCGCCGAGGGACTGTGTGAGCGTATTTCAAACTCTCATGAGTATCGCGTGTTTCCCCATCAATTGAAGCGAACTAATAACCCTAAAACATATCGATAAAAACAACTTTACTGCACCAAACGTCAAATCTTTCCCCTCTCCACCACTTCCCCGTCCCTTCTTCATATTGTTGCTCGTTCACTTATCAAGGGTGATTTCTAGATTGTGTAATAATCGTTCAAACCAATAGACCATCCCGGGTAACATCATCTAAGGCCTGACCTTGACGGTTTTTTTTACTTTGTTTTTTTCTCTTTTGGGTTATTAATATCATTCTTATCATTTTTATCATTATTGATTCATGACGCTACCGCCTGTGGAGTCCGGCGTGCGTGGGATGACGCGGCGGAATTACCTCGTCGAGCTCAACCGCCTCCGCCGGGCGAAGTACGCGCCGACGCTGCACGCCCTCGAGGAGGAGGAGCTCCGCCT